GGTAGGGCATTGAGTCTGTTGGTGAGTCCTCTGGCACTTACCGCCTCCTTAACACTGGGTTGTTCAGAGTTTGCAAGGGGCTAATATCACACGTTATGCCAATATTTAGTCAAGATGTTTAAGATGCAACAGAAATGCTCTTTCCTAGCCATTTACTTGTCTGGAATTAGAAACCAAATTCCCTGGGATGGCGCAGCCAACACATAACTGGTTTTGTTTTTTTTGTTTGTTTGGTTGGTTGGTTGGGGGGTTGTTTTGTTTTGTTTTGACTTATTTTCTTCAAAGGTATTCTTGGTGTTCAAAACCATGCAGGTGAATGTAGAGAGAGTTTGCTTCCCCAACTGGCTTATACAACTGCTGATCCGGAAGGAAGAAAGATCATGGCTGTTCCCACTCTCTATCATCACAAGCAGCCAAAGATGCTATGTTATCTAGACTTCACATCCTGTGACGAAATACTGGAGAGAAGCAGCTTAAGGGAGAGGATGCTTCTTTGGGCTCAAAGCTTCTTCTGAAGTTTCAATCATTTTGTCTGAGTCATGGTGAGATGGAGCATCATGGCAAGAGATGATAGCAAAGCTGCCTACATTGTGGTGACCAGGAAGCAGAGAGAAAAAGAACACCAATCGAGCTGACTTTTCCCTTTGGTCTCTGGCCTATGGGATGGTGCTACTCATATTCAGGGCAAGTCCACCTTCCATATTTCTCTCTGTGCATGCCCTCAACAGGCACAGCCAGAGGTCTCAGAGACACTTCCCAATCCTGGCAAGCTGACAATAAATGTAACAATCACAGCAGCAGCATAGCTGTGTATTAACTTGAAATGATGGTCTATTTGATTGCTAGAGCTATCATTCAACACCACAATGGAGAAGTAAAAACAGATTTTTTTTTCTTCACTATCCTGGACACTACAAGTTCAAAATCAAAATGGTGACAGTGCTGGCTCCTCCAGAGACCCAGAGGTATGTGTGCTGTGTCCTCTCTTCTGTCCCTTGCTGCTGCTGGCCCTTGGCATGCTTACAAAGACACAGCTTCAACCTCTGCCTCCATCATCCTACCACATTTTCTTGTATTTCTGTCCAAATTGCCTTCTCCTTGTAAGGACACTGGCCAAGCACATTTTTGTGATTTGGGTGTTGGCCAGCATCTTGCCAAAAGGACGCAGCAGCCTGCTGTTTATACTAAGAGAACTGCTCTCTCCCTATACAAGTGACTCTGGGTTGGGACTGGGGAGACAGGTTGGGGGTTAAGAGCATGTGCTGATCTTGCAGAGGACTCAGGTTCAGTTCCCTGCACTCAGGTCATCCAAATCACAAATCAGGATCCAGCTCCAGGGGATCAAAGCCCTCACTGGCCTCCTCAGGCACTGCCCTCATGTGCACAAAGCCACACTCACACTCCTACACATATAGACAAAAAAAAATCTTCTTAAACTTCTGGATTATTGATAAAATAATAGTCCTGTTAAATCCATAGCAGAAAATGATTCCACCTTATCATTTCAAATTTTTTTCTTTGGTTCCTAATCAGGATGTAAGTGGCCTTTCTGCCTGTCCATGAACAGGCTATGATATCTGAGGTGTATCTGGAGGTGTTCACACAGCCTCTTCCTCTGTCCCCTCACCAGGTCCCTTGTCCTTGTACCTGAGAGAACCCACCACACTAATACCTATTCTGGGATGGTGTTTAAAGGTCAGTAGTACATGGATGTGCACCGAGTGAGCCCAGGAGGGGAGTGTGGCTTTCCAGGTGCCACGGTGTACTTGGGAGTGGAGGGCTGAAAGGGAGCTCCATGATCGAATACAGAAAATGAAGGGTTTCACAGCCTGGGTGGATGAGCCCAAGAATATGTGAGTGAAAATGCCACCTCCCTGCCATGTGAGGGAGCTGAAATCCTTGGTATGCCGCATCCATTTTCTTTCTGTGTGATTTCCACACCTACAGAACCATATAAATTGATGGGTGAATGGACCCCCATGGCTCATCTGCTCCAAATACTTGATGAAACAAATTGAAACCCAGAAAAAGGTGAATCTTGAAGCCTTGGGTTTTGCATATTGAACTAAAGGAAGAAGAACAAGCAGAAGAAGAACAAGAAAAGGAGGAAGAAAAGGCGAAGGAGGAGGAGGAAGAGAAGAAGAAATAATCTTCCAGTATCATATAAGAACTAGAAAGGTGTCTCAGCATTAAAGAATGCACATTGTTCTCATGGAGGCAGAGGCTGGCGAACCGCTGTGAGTTCAAGGCCAGCCTAGGCTACAAAGCTAGTCTAGGATAGCCAAGGCTACACAGAAAAATCCTGTTTAAAAAAAAAAAAAAAAAAAAAAAAGAATGCATACTCCTTTTGCAAGGGAACTGATTTCAGCACCCATGTGGTGGGTGGATCCACTACAACCATCAAAAGTCCAGGGATCTTCAGCCTTCCAAGTGCACCTGCACACACACATACAGATACCCACACACGTACACATATGCACATACATTTATACATAACAAAAAATAAAAACAAATCTGTTTTACATAAAAATTAAATTAGTAGAAAGGCTAACAACATGGCTCAGTTGCCTGAGGAATTATTTAGAACCCTCAAGGCCCTGGATTCAGCCCTTAATCAGCCCTTTAATAAAACAGCCATGCTAGCACCCGCCTGTAGAAGCAGGAGGCTCAGAAGTTCAAGGTCACCTTCAGCTACATAAACACATGAAATCAAGGCCAGCCTTGGCTACATAACACATGTCTCTTTAAAAAGGTGTAGAAGAGACTCAGGGAGGAGTAAATAAGATCAAGAGACAATTTTCAAAGGGTAAGTTTTACAATACTTTCCAAGATTAAGCATTAGTTTGTAGAGTAGGTATTTATTACTAGGCCCTGAGTACATCAGCTCTCACCCTGAAAGCCAACCTCCTTCCCATACCCAGGCATGGTAGGCAGTGACAATCTCTCAGGAAGAAAAGAATCCAATAAATACATTCTCCAAATGAAGGAGTGTGAGGGCCACCTGCCCCACACATTCAAACATTCTGCTTTGTGATATTTTGAAGAATATCCAGGCAGGTAAGAGGTCCTGGCTAGAATGAAATTCTTCTCCTGAGCTTCCTTCCCTCTATGAACTTGAGTGTCACTTTTCAGCCACCATTTTAAATTTGAATGATCTCTGGGGACAGCAGCCACCAGAGTGTGGAACAGTTCCGAGAAATAACAAGGCTGATGCTGCTTTCCTCCTGCAGCTACTGTTGCTGTTGATGCAGTGAGACAAGAAGTTGGAGATCTGAAACAAGGATTGGACTGCCTCCAAGGAACTGGACGACCCTAACCAGCAACTAAGAGAATTGCGTCCCCACTCCCACTAAGCTTTTCTCTCTCCTACCTGGTATTGGGGTGTTGAAAAGGATTGGGGTGGAGTAGGAAGAGATATAAGAAATGTAAATAAAAGAGTTTTTAATAAGTACGCCAATAGGCTGTTCCTCACAGTCCCCGATTTCATAACAGCTCTCCTTCCCCACTTCTGTCATTGCTGACCAAAATAACCCCAGAGGCCAGGTTCACCACTAACCACTTCTCTGTGACTGCCACAGACAGACATCAGCAGTCCAGCAGAGCCCTGTACCTTCCCATGGAAGTTCTGGGGTGCCTTCAGATCCTGGCCATCACCCATGGAAATGAGCTAATATCCTCTGTTCTTCACCAAGTCTTTGCTTTTGCAGCTCCTTCAACAATTAAGCTGAGACTCATTTTACCATTGATCCCTTCTTCCATGATGCTGATCGTGGCTGTCCTCAGACTGAAACTTCACAGGATGACAAGAGTCAGCAGGCACCATGGTAGAGCCGCAGGACTGGACACTGGATCCCTTCCCAGACCATCACATCCTCTCTCTCTCTCTCTCTCTCTCTCTCTCTCTCTCTCCCACTCTCTCTGTTTCCCTCTCCTTCTCCCCACCCCTCAGCTTTTTGAGACAAGGTTTCTCTGTGTAGACTTGGCTGTCCTGGACTTACTTTATAGACCAGGCTGGCCTCAAACTCCCAGAGATCTGCCTGACTCTGCCTCCCTGAGTGCTGGGATTACAGGCATGGGACACAATGCCAGGCTTTTATCTTTTCCTTGTAAAGCTTCTTGAAGGAATTACTGAAAGCCTAGGACCTCATGCTTTCATTCACCTTTGTGTAAATCTTGGGCAGAACATTCAATATTCTCTTCCCCACAGATGGTTTGGTGATTATTTTAGCTTGTAAACTCTACCATGTTTGATTCTCTTGACCTCTATACCAGGAGGGTCCAGTCAGGAAGGAGACCTCACATAAATAATGGAGACAGAGGATAGTTAATGCAGGGAAGTTCTTACTGTTGCTAGAAAGTTGAAAAATGACAAGAATGCACTACCAACTGCAGAAGCAGCCACCTCACTCCTGCTAAGGGAGCTGAAGAAATGAGAATGAATGAATGTTCAGACCAGGGCTCAGGGAACCTCTGTTCTTGCATCCCTGAGGAAGGGGCTCAGCCCAGCACTGAGAGCAACCCTGTGCTTGGTTAGTACAGGGCTGATGCTCAGAGAGCACTCCAATGCCATTTTCCTCCTGGTTCTTGTTCCTCTAATGTTGTACTTGCTCTTGAACAGACCTTGCCCTGCCTGGAACCCCATATCTTCCTCTCTTCCAGAGCCTGGTGTTAATTCTGCAAGCCAATGGTGTGTGCTCAATGGCATTTTTATTGCGCCCCCTTGTGGTCCCAGCTCTAATTTGGCACAGAGCTGGTGGGGAAGAGTTGTACTTTGTGGCCTTGGACCTTGGCTGTCCTCACCCTCCCTATCCAAAAGATAAAGGGATCCTGTGGACTCGGTTGGTGTGGCTCCATACTGTATCCATCCAGGATAAGGGCTGTTCCCGTGGGATGTCCCCGGAGATCCAAGGAACTTCTGCTAGAGAGACCGGCCTCCCCTGCTAGCCACTATCTTTGCCGCAGGTTTGGACTCCAAGCCTCACCTTGGGCCTTCTCCCACCATGAAGCTCCTGCTACTGGCTTTGGCTGCACTACTGCTCTTGTCCCAGCTCACTCCAGGTAATGTAGATCTCCTCATGGAAAGGGTCAGGGAGAGACACCCTGCCCCTGTCAGTGAAGCCTTAGGGGCCAGGAGCCACCATTCCCAACCCCATGAAGGCGGCGTCTTGCTGGGTGCTGAATTTTAGTTACCAGCAACAACATCCGGAGCGGCTTAACCACCACCCGCTCCATGCTCGGCTCTACCAAGTTGTGCAAAGGGCCAGTGTGGTGGTAGGAGCAGCCAGCAAGGAGAAGGCAACAGCAGCTCTCTTGCAGAATCGGCCCCAAATAGTCTAGGCTTAGTAAGAGCCACAGCCACCTTAATGGAAGAGAGAAGCTCATGTTTACCACTCCTCTCTCTGTACCGTACTCAGTGGTGGAGCTAGGACTATGGAGGCAAACGGCGCAGCCCTTGGGCACAGCTGAAAAACATTATACCCAAAGCTGTGACAAAGCGAAGTGGGTACACGTGAGTAGGGCCAGCTAACCTGAGGGGCAGCAGAGTCCTGAGGAGTGACTGAAAGTTAGGCATCAGAGGGGAAGAGGTGGACAGGGAAGGGTGTTCCAGGGAGAATAAACATACAATAAGCACCCTATTCCAGGGAGAGCGTGCTACCTGAGGAGACTCAACCCACAATGGAGGGGTGGCTGACGGGAGCCACAGGTGAGGAAGCATGTGGGCCAGATGAGGGCCATGGGAGAACCTAGCCGGAGAAGGTCAGCCTATCCTTCCCAGCAACCCTACTTGCATTCTCCGACTCACCTGGTATAGCTTCTGTCCACCCAAGACTGTCGAACTTTCCAGAATCAGATGCTATGTTCCTAGACAAGCTGTTCCCTCCTGGGGCCCTGAAACATCCTTCGTCTAAGGGAGGAAGAAAAGCCAAGAGCCCGAGTTGGCAACTGGCTCACCATTATCTGACCCCCACTCCCACCCTTAACCCACCCCGACCGCCTTCACCACTGTTCAGAGGACCAGTTTCTCATTTCTCCAGTTTCTGTGTGTAGTATGTGTGTTTCGTGTGTGTAGTAATAGCAGGTTGAGGGAACGACAGAGAAAGCACGCACATTCGGGCTGCAGCCCAGTTGATACAGTGCTCGCCCAGCACAGAGGAAGCCTTGGCTTTGATTTCTCGCACCACGGAAATTAGGTGTGGTCGTGCAGGATTGGAATCCCAGGACTGGGAGGTGGAGGCTGAAGGATCTGAAATTCAGCGGCTACTTACCAAGTTTAAGGTCAGTCTGGTATAAACGAGGCCCTGCCTGAAAGAGGGGGTGAGCAGTTAGTTTCACGTGGACTGTGACGTTCAGGTGAACCTTCTCAGGAACCTCCATTCTGGAAGAGGTGGCAACCTTGCTTTCTTCTGGAGGACCCAAAGGAGTTAAATGTCCAGTGTTGAAGACAGTGACGACCAGGAAATGGGTCGCTGTGGCCTGGGGGAGCTAAAGACGGTGCTGTTTACAATTCTGTCCACCACACCAGGGAATGTGGGGGCCTCCTGGACTGGTGTTATGCTACCCGCTGCTGAGCACGATAGGAAGAGCTTCTGCTGCTTCCCTGTGCTGCCTCCCGCCCTCTGAGGGTTGGATGAGGTGCGGAAGCTAAGCCTTTCCCAAACGTCCTAGCTGACACCCGCCTGAGGTGCCGAGGCCTGAGGTGCCGAGGCCGGAGGTGCCGGGGCCTGAGGTGCCGGGGCCGGAGGTGCCAGGCCTGAGGTGCCGAGGCCTGAGGTGCCGGGCTGCTGATGCTGCTTCAGAACCATTCTGGGTGTTGCTAGCAAACTGTCCCTCCTGCAGCGCTAGCTCTACTTCTCTGCACTTTCCTAACGCTCAGGTTGGCCAGCATCCACCCCTAGCGTGTTGATGACGTCAGGCTGACAGGGATAGGGGAGTTTTTCAGGCAGCTCGTGCTGCTGCTGCTGCTGCTGATGATGATGATGATGGAGGTGAATATAAACTCCTCAGTTCTCAGGAAGCTATTGGAAGAGTTTCTCTTCCACTTCCTGTAAGAGGGGTTGAATGGAAGCCATCAATCCTTTGGCCTTCATCTCTGACAGCCTGCAGTGAGTTGGTTCTGTCTGAACCCACCAGGCTTTAGCCAGGCCTTTACTTTCTTCAGTAAATTTTGATTGCTGAAATGACGGTCTTGCTATGACCAACTCTTATCTCACTTAAGCTAAATTATGAGTGTCATCCTAACTGTTCCACCTTTGGACAGTCAAAGGGTCTCAGGATGAAAGGGGACTGAAATGTAGAGCCCTTAAAAGTCTTTGGAATGACAGCGGGTAAGCACACTTGCTGCCAACACTGACAACCTGAACTTGATTGAGCACTAAGACCCTCTCATCATGAGCAGACTGGCTCCGCTAAGCTGTCCTTGGCCTGTGCAGACAATACAGGAATGAATAAGTGTAAGTATAAAATGCTCAGGGTTGGAGGGATGCTTCAGTGGGTAAGAACATTTCCTGTGCAAGCAAAAGGGACCTGAGTTCGGATCCTCGGCACTCGCATAAAATGCCAGATGTGCCTGCTCATAATCCGTTTTGGAAGGTGGCAACAGACAGATCCAGGAACCCGCTGTCAAGCTGGGCTAGCCAAAATGGTGAATTTCCAGCTCAGCGAGAGACCCTGTCTTGATGCAACATGGCAGGGGAGGGGTAGAGAACACCAGATGTTCTTTCCTACTCTCTGTGTTCATGCAACACACACAGTTGATCACTTTGACATTCTTGAGTTAAAATTGACATCTCACAGCAGCTGACAGCCATCTGCAACTCCAGCTCCCAAGGACCTGTGCACATGCAGACAAAAAAAAAAAAAAAAAAAAAAAACACCTACATATAAAATAGAAATAAGTAAATCTTCAAAACATGAGATCTCATTAAGTGGTGGTTTCTTTCTTAGCTTTGCTACAAAGTAAGGCAGAATCACAGCCACAGAAACAAACGTGCTGTTTGGCAAAGGTGACCAACTATAGCTCCCTGTAACACCACACAGCTCAGGCACGGCCCTCTGCTAAGCCCCTCCCCCAGCATCCCTACCAGTGTTCTCTCCCTCCCCCAAAGTGTCCTGACTTGTAGGGCGACTGATATTTTTTTATGTCTTCACAAAACACTCATTGCCAAGGTTACATCCCTAAACATCTTTCATCTGTGTTTTATTTTTGAGACAGGTTCTCACGGTGTAGCCCTGACTGGCAAACATCCTGTTTTTAAAAATATGCCTTTTAATATTTCTCTGATCTTCATCCCTCTGTCTTTACAAGTTGTCTTAAAATAACGGGTCACTGACCTGGATTCTCCCACAATTAGGATTTTGCCAATTGCATGCTCAGGATAGAACTCACAGTATCCTCTGGTGTGTGGGCCCGGATTGCGGGAAACTCACTATTTAGACCAAGCTGCCCTCAAACTCACAGAGACCCACCTGCCTCTGCCTGCTGAGGGCTACCACCTGACTACTCTTATTGAACTCAAATTGTTCCAGCCTTGGTGAGGGGAGTCTGCTTGATGCACGAGCTTTACTTTTAAAAACCTGGTGTTAGTGTTAGTGTTCTTGTGCAATGCCCGTCCATCTTTATAAAGACTACCAGCACGGTGCTGCAGCCTCGCCACCTTAAACACGACACCCTGCTACACAGGACACCGCACAACCAAAGGTCTGTGAGGGCTGGCAACAGTTTACCCAACAAAGAAACAGTTTTAGACCCAGCTGTTCTCAGCTGTGAGCCCAGACCCCTTTGGGTGTCTGTATCAGATGTTTACATTACGATTCATAGCAGTAGCAATATTTCAGTTATGAAGTTGCAACAAATAATTTTATGGTTGGAGGAAACCACAAAATGAGGAACTGGATTAAGGGGCTGCAGCATTAGGAAGGTTGAGAGCCACTGAATCTAGAGGGAAAAGGAAGGCACGGAGGTTAACTGCAGCATGTATGCTTGTGAGAGTCTCAAGCAAGGCTGGGCCTCAAGGCAGGCATAAAAGGCTGACGTCTGGCCCAGGCTGAGAACAAATTGAAGGCCGAATTTCTGAGGAAAGCACAAAGTAAAGAGGAAGGAGGAAGCTAGGCGTAGTGGCACAAACCTGGGGATCCCAGCACTTGAGAAAAGTTCAAGGTCATTCTCAGCTACAGAATGACACACACCCCCAAGAGAGAGAAAGAGAGAGAGAAACAGAGTGGGAGGGGGGAGTAGAGAGCAAGAGCAAGAGTTTTGTATGAAACATCCTGTCTGCTTCTCACGCCTCATGGAAATCAAAGCTGCGTTTGTTTTGGGAAACCGGATTCCTTGTGGGGAGAATGGGACACTGCATCCCTACAAGGGGACAGGATTTCAGATGGAAAGTATCCACCACGGCTGTTTGAGAAACTCAGGCTTCTCCGTCTTTTGCTCATGAACAAATCGGTCAGAGGAGTTCAAGCTGGTGTGGCAGGAAGTTGTAGACCAAAGTAAGGATTCTACCCAGGTCTAGCAATTTACTGAGCGTGAGTGAGGGGTTATACACAGGGGCAACAGGTAACCCCAAAACAGGTGCACCAGTGTCTCGTGGCAGCATGGAAAATGGTGTTCCTGTAGTTGATAGATGGAGTCCCCTTCCTCAGTTAGCCTTCCTGCTCAATCCTCCAGTGGCTCCCGAGAGAACGTGCAGCTGGGCGAGAATGACAACAGTTGAGAGAGGGTGCAAGAGGAAGTGAGAGTCTAACGGCCTCCCCAACCCCTCTGTCTATGAGGGACCTTCAACAGGCCCAGGCTGGAGGGTCTTTGCAGGTAGTCACAGCTGCTCTGATTAAGATGTTAATGGCGGGACAGGAGAACTCGCTGCTCTCCCGAAGGCCCTGGGCTGGGTTCCAGTACCCACACTCAACCTGTTGTTACTCCGGTCCAGGGGATTCTGTGCCCTCTTCTGGCTTCTTTGGGTACCGCACACGTGTGGTTCACATGCAGGCAAAACCCTCAAACACGCAGAATAAAATGAGTAAGTCCTCTCTACGGTGATGGCAAAGGTTCACAGGGATGGCCACTCACACACACCTTAATTCACCACAGCAGTCGCTGGGAAGGCCCGGGGCTCGGACTGTTTACACCGTCTGTTGGATGGGACACTGTGATTGGCAGGCTTGTCACGTGCGAGTCTTTGCTGTGGGGTGATGGGTCCGAGGCCTGAAGAGACCCAGAGACACGTCCTGGAAAAATAAAAAGCCAAGGGTCCTCTATCCCAGAGTGGGGCAGGTGGGCTTTGGACGTGGCTCTCTTCAGTATTGACACTACTGGAACAGTGCACCCCAAAGATTTAAAATTTTCTCAGTAATCCCTTGTGCAGAAGCCCCCAGGGTCACCATGAGAACTTGCCTCCCTGGTAGAGATTCCAGGACAGCATACCCACACCCGTTCATGTGTGTGTGTGTGTGTGTGTGTGTGTGTGTATACACGTACATATGTATATATGTATGTGTGTGTAGCCTTGTTTTTTTATCCTTGCTGGTTGCCTCCCTGGAAGAGACCCCACAGCGTTCTGACTGCTTATCTCAGGACACGTGGGGATGCCTGGACCATTGTTGCATCTTTCCTGTGAAACTGTAACATCAATACAAGAAGGGGAGAAAGGAGGCCCCCCTTTGTTGCCCCAGTTCAGCCAAACCATAAATAAATCTATTTTCCTTAAGAAATGGCTGTTATTCTCAAAGAGAAGCAGTCCAGAGCGTGTGTGCACACACACTCACCCATACAGACACACACACTCTCATACTCACACACACACAGCGCACACCACACACAGACACACACACACTCATATACACACACTCTCACCACACACGAGCACACGCCCACACACACCTATCTACCACTCCTGCTGGCCTCCCTCCTACTCTCCAAACTCCTTCCCTTCGGCTTCCGTATCTACATGCGTGTACCATGGCAGGTATGTTCGCATGGGTGTGCCTGAGCACAGCTTTTCCAGAGTCGTGTTAGGAAACTGAGGTTTCTGGCTGCTCGGAATTTTGTCGCACTTGAGATTTTCCAGGTGCCCTTTCTTTGCACCCTCTGGTCATCTCTGCCCCCTCTCTCCTTTGGCACCTCCGCTGCTGACGTGTTGATCTAGCAGCATTCGGTCCCCACCGCTTCGTTCTTCCTCTGAATTTCATTTTGAGTAATTTCCGTTTTGTGTCTCCAAGTTCATTCATCTTTTTGAAGAGACTTTTTAACTTTGTTTACTTTTTTTTTTTTACTTATTTAGTCTTGTGTGACTCAGACTGACTTTGAACTCACTATATAGCTGGCACTTGCCTCCAGTCTTCCTGCCTCCACCTCCTGGGTGCTGGAATTATACCTGTGTGCTCACTGACCGGCCGAGTTTCTTAAAGAGGTATTTGTTTTCCTTTTATGTGTCTGTTGCCCGTACGTAGGTCTGGGCACCATATGCATGCCTGGTGTCTGCATCGCCCAGAGGGGGTTGTCAGGTCTCCTGGAACTGAAGTTTCGGCTTGTTGTGAGCTGCTGTGTGGGTGCTGGAAACTGAGCCAGACAGAGCAGCAAGTGCTCTTTGCCTCTGAGCCATCCCTCTGGCCCCCCGAATGCTATAGGTTTTCTAAAGCCTTTCTGCTCTGGCAGAAGAGCACACACATTCCCAGTCCTGAGGACGGCTCTGCCTAGCTCTCTCTCATGACTCTTCCCAGACTTTGGTAGTTACCTCACATGTGTGTTCAGAAAAGTGTTCAAGGATGAGAGGGGTTCCCTTTGGAGACTGCCATGGTGTGGACATGTTTCTCTCTCTCTCTCTCTCTCTCTCTCTCTCTCTCTCTCTCTCTCCTCTTTCCTCTCTCCTCTCTGCCCCATCTGAAATTTTGAATGCTGATTTAAGTAGTTGCTATTAGTCTTTCAAAATTATTTTTAATAACCCTTCAGCTAGCCTACAACGGGTCTCATGGTGACATCCCATGCACAGATATCGTATTTTGTGTCTCATTTACACCCCGCCTTCCCCTCGGCCCCTTGGCTGGTCCCCTTCCTACTTCTGCTTTCATGTCTGTACATTCCACAACCCTCTCTCGTTCCCTCTTCTCATCTCAAGACAACTTCTCCTCTCACGGTTCCTGTCCTACTTCCATGGCGTACCTATGTGTCTATATATGTTTAAATCTCGATTCCATACACGAAAAAGGCAAGGTTTGTCTTTCTGAGTGCTATATAACATAATAATCCCCAGCTGCATCCATTTTGCTGCAAATGTCATGGTTTCATTCTTGTTACAGCTGTGTATACGGACTTCATTAGCTTTATTCATCTGTTGATGGACCTCTAGACTGATTCCATATCTTGGCTGTTGTGAACGGTGCATCAACAGACACAGATGTGCAAGCACCTCTGATAGCACAGACTGCCGTAAAGGCCCTCGGTATATTTGGGGATGGCACACATGGGTTCTACGGTCATTCTAGTTTCAGTCAGCTGAGGAACCTCTGCACTGACTGCCATGATGGCCGTGCAGGTGCGCCCCACCAGCAGTGAGCAAGGGCTCCTCTTTCCTCACATTGCGGAGGGCATTTGTTGTCATTTCTTTCCTTGGTGACAGATGGAATGTCATTCCCCTTCTGTGAGGGAACGCCCAGACAGGGCAAGGCTGGTGCTGATGTGTAGAAGCTGGAATTCTATGCCTCTTCTTCCAAGGCTTCCCTTGCCCTTCTCCATCCCTTGCTCCATGTCTGGGCCTCTGTTTGAACTGTCAAAAGGAAACCTGTGACTCAGCTAGAGCTTAAAGACTTTGTTCATCTGAGGGACACCGAGGCACCTGCAAGCTGAGGCAGGATTGGTGCCGCACAGAGAAGTGGGCATGGGCCTTCGCTTTGTCTTGGGCAGCCACTGCTGTCCCTCCTGCACAGCCCCTGGGGGGACAGCATTCCTAGCTGGTCCCCTGTTGTTTCTCTCTTGGTTTAGGTTTTGTTTTTGTTTTTGTTTTTGTTTTAGACAAGTTTTGTGTACAGGCTGTCTACAACAGCCCTTTCAAGGCAGATTTCCAATGTTTCATCATTTAGTCTAAATTTGTGGTCAAAGAAAGGCAGGGCAAAACAATGAGGTCAGGAAAAACATCAGCAGGTGGAAGGGGTCGAAGGGAAGGAAGTGAGCTTCTCACTCGTGTGCCAGCTCCTCCAGACCAGAGCCACCCTCTTCTTGGGACTGACGTGATCTCCTCTCTCTCTCTCTCTCCTTTGTATCAGGTGACACTCAGAAATGCTGGAATCTCCATGGCAAGTGCCGCCACCGGTGCTCCCGGAAGGAGAGTGTCTATGTCTACTGCACAAACGGGAAGATGTGCTGCGTGAAACCCAAGTTCCAGCCAAAACCAAAGCCCTGGATGTTCTAAGCGGGGATGTCGCCATTGGCAAAGCCGTCCTAAGCTGACCCCGTGGATTCTTGAGCTCAGTTAATAAATGCACCTGCCCAACCTCTGTGTTGCTTGCTCATCTATGCTAGAAGTTTTCAAGTTTGGGAAATCAAAAGTATCATCATCATCATCATCATCATCATCATCATCATCATCATATGACATCTCTGTCTCTCATAGGTGAACAGTGGGATTTTCTTGAATCCATGAAGCATATGATGACATTAACTGCTGGGCAGCCAGCAGAGGTGTGCTTATGTACACGTGTGTTCTAGAACTGCTTAGGTTGAAGGCTTGAGGTATAATCACTTGCAGAGGTTGACTTGATCAGTCCTCAGTAACCCCACTGCCCTCGTCCAATGATCTTTGATATTATTAACCTCTGTAACCTCAAAATCATTATTTTTTAATCCTTAAGCCCTCCTTGCACAAGACATAAGTGTACTCAATTGGCTCAGTTTGCAGAAGTGGATTAACAAGCTTGTGCAACAGCCTAATAGAAGAAACTCTGCTGTCCCTAAAGGGAAGGTGATATTCCTGTCTATACAGTATTTTAGATTGTCTTGGGGTTTCTATTGCTGCAATGAATCACTATGAACCAAAAAGCAAGTTGGGGAGAAAGGATTTATTTGGCTTAGGCTTCCACACCACAGTTCATCATCAAAGGACGTCAGGACAGGAACTTAAACAGGGCAGGAACCTGGAGGCAGGAGCTGATGTAGAGGCCACAGAGAGGTGCTGCTTACTGGCTTGCTCCTCATGGCTTGGTCAGTCTGCTCTCTTACAGAACCCAGAATCACTAGCACAGGGATGACCCCCTCCACAAAGGGCCAGGCCCTCCCCATCAATCACTAATTAAGAAAATGACTTATAGGCTTGTCTACAGCCCAACCTTATGGAGGCGTTTTCTCAGTTGAAGTGTCCTTCTCCCAGGTGACTCCAGCTTGTGTCAAGTTGACATAAAACTATCCATCACAGGTGCCACTTATGACAAATGCACAACTTAAAAATTCTGAGTTGTAGGGATACAGCTCAGCGGCAGAATGGCTTGAGTAGCATGCGTAAGGCTCTAGGTTCAATCCCCAGCACCACATAAAAATTATTATGCGTGTGTCATAAATGTGTTTAGGATGAGAATAAAAGATTGGTAAAATGGGTGAAAGGATGGAGAATATAAACTAATGCATCAAATCAGGCACAGGGTGCACGTCTACAGTCTCAGCAGCTGGGAAGTACTAGCAGAGGGTTGGGAGTTCAGGGTCAGCTTCAGCTATACTGTCACTGTGAAGCCAGCCTAGACTACACAGGAACCGATTTCAAAAACCAAACACTTGAAAGCAGTGGCTCATGCCCATAATCCCAGCACTTGGGAGGCTGAAGAGTTTGAGGCCAGTCTAACACAAGCCTAGGTTATGGAATAAGACCTTTTCCTAATAATAATAATCTGATACATTTTAAAGGGGCTGGCTCTTCTATTGCTACATTACAAACCTAATCTAGAACAGAATAAAATAGCCAGTGTGTGCTATTTGACTCATAGTTCTGGGCCTTGAGTGGACAGTTCTTCTGTTATTCCCATGTGAGTCACCTGTGTGGCTGCATTGCCTTCCTTTACTTCCTCCAGAGTGGCTGGGGTTTACCCAAGAGACTATGCCTCAATATACAGCACTTATCAGAGTTCTGTTACATTTGCTAAAGTCCTGGGGTCCATACCAAGGCAGGTGACCCAGGATCGTTGTGGGGAAAAAACTCAGGACAAGAATAGGGGGAAACGATTCACTGGGGATTCCGTGTATGGATGCATCATCCTCAAACGGATCCCCTAAGGATAAATCAGACAGTCTAAGCCAGAGTTTTAATGTCTAACATGAAGACTGCAGTTAATGTACTTGAGAATACCCAGCATATGCAACAGAAGAAAGTCAGTGAGCGCAAAGACAGACCAGTAGAAAATATACAAATTATATTATATCATTTGTATAATAATATAATTTCACAGGAAGTGAAAGTAAGCATTACCAAATAATTGTGCATTCCAGCACAGTCCCAGGAGAAGAGAGAACAGAGAAGAAAAACGTATTTTGAAAAGATAACAGCTGAAAGAAACATGTCAATCTACTGAGTGAGCTGGAAGTCCAGTGAACTGAAAAGCAGTGAAAACCAAACACAAGAATCATAGTGAAACACAAGCTTCAGAGCTTGTCTCAACTATAGACAGCTCCTGAGAACTGACACCTGAGGGTGACTTCTGACCTCCACATACATATGCATTCTTGCACCTGCGAGCACACACACACACACACACACACACACACACACACACACACGTGTTCTCACACAGATCCACAAACACAGAAAGTGAAAATCAAGGTAGCAATCAATTCCCATGGAGCTTGGTCCTGGAAGCCTCACTGGAGTGTGAAGAGAATGAAGAAAGGACAGGCGGACACATAGACACACATACAGAAAATCTGGAGTCGGGCGAGGCATGTGCTCTAATGGGGTTGCAACTACTGCCAGCCTTTTTGGTGTGTCCAGCACGGTAGGGAGGGTCTTGCCAATCTCCTAGGAGGTCTCTGCAGGCCAGAAGTCTCGGGTTACAAACGCCCAGCAGGAGGAAGCCGTAGTTGCTAGTTTTTGCGCACACTGATCAATTGTAAACACTTGTGCTTGGACCAGAGGAAGGAGGCTTTGCCGGCTCTGAGCCATGCCCCCTGTCATGGTGGTACCCGTGCCTACAACACTCAGCATTTCATTCCCTCAGGGCTTCCTGGGATCCCTATGAGCAACAGCAAGAGAAATTGGTCTACGCATGGGAATTGAACAATGCACTCTTCAGTGGTCAGTCGGTCATTGAAGAAATCAAGGAAGAAAAAAATTTAATCCTAGGAGTAAGCGAAAACATAACACAGCAGAAGCTTTGTAAGACAGCTAAGGTGGTTCTGGGAGAGATGTTCAACACTGTGAGAGCCTACATCTAAGGATCAGAGTGGTTTCACATAAACAACTTAATGATGTGCCTCAAGGTCATAAAAGCACAAGAACAGGCCAAACTCAAAATTGGTGGATGGAAAGATAATGAAGAAGCTAAAAGAATGAGACAAAGACGTAATCAGACAGAGCTGGTTCGCTGAAAAGATAAGCTGGGGACTGGGCGGTGGCAGGGGGTGAGGAAGGTGGCTCATTTGCTACACAAGTGTGAGAACCTGAGTTCACATCCCCGGAACCCTTGCAAATGTTGGATGCAGAGCAAGAGCCTCTGTGACCCCAGCACTCTACAGAGAGATGGGAAGCAGACAGGGAGGGTCCCAGGGGCACATGGACCACCTTGCCCAGCACATGCAGCACAAAAATAACGAAGAGCCTGTCACAGACAACGTGAAAAGGGAGCACCCACACACAAAGTCCTCCCCTGACCTCTACACATATACCGTGAGATTTACAGACATGAACATGCACACCAATACTACTACTAATAATAAGCAAGGTTGATACACTGAAAAGCAGAAGGCTCTGATTAGAGGCCACTGAGATGGCTCTGTGGGTGGCCGTACTAGCCACAGAGGCACGGTGACCTGAGATCAGTACGTGGAACCCACCTAAAGGTTGAAGCAGAAGAACGACTCCACAACATCATCCTGTGACCTCCACAAGCACGCCATCGCTCACAGGCATCTCGAACACACAATGATGAGTAGTTTTTTAAGTTAAAAATACAAATGGAGATTAAAACGGAGACATTATAGCAGAAATCTAGAGGCTCGTAAAGAAATTGTTCGATGCAGAGCATGGTAGTGCACAACTTTGATCCCAGCACTTGGGAGGCAGAGGCAGGCAGATCTCTCTGAGTTTCAGACCAGCCTGGTCTACAAAAGTGTCCAGGACAGCTAGGGCTCTGTTACATAGAGAACGGAGAAACCCTGTCTTAAGAAAACCAAAAGAGGAGGAGAAGGAAGAGGAGGAGAAAGCGGGGGAGGAGGGAGAGGGGAACAGGGGGAGAGAGAAAAATGGGAAGGGGAGAAGGGGAGCAAGAAAGGGAGGAGGGGGAGGAGGAAGAGAAAAAAAATTGTTAGAGGACCCGGGGAGATAGCTCAGCAGCTAAGGGCACTTGTTGCCAAGCTTGATGACCGGAATTCAATCCCCAGGCCGTACCTGGTGGCAGAAAGAGAACCAGTTCCCTCTAGCTATCCTCTGGCTCCACAGATGTGTCATGGTACGCATGCTGAGCATGTGTGCACGTGCATGGGGTGGGGCAGGGCAAGGGTGTCAAATCTGAATCACTTTGAAAATTTATGTACCAGAGAATTTTAGAGCTGAGACAAAATCAATACATTTCTAGACGCAGTGTTATTTGGAAAAAAAAAAATCAAGTCAAGAGTACATGAACAGCTAAACTGATCTACAAACAGCAACGAAGGGCTAGAAAGTGGCACAGTGTCCAGCACTGGTCCGACACCTACATAGCACTGGCTCTGACCCCCAGGGCCACGGGAAAGAAAAGGGGGAAAAAAGGAAAAGGAAGGGTAGGAAGGGGAAGCAGCAGCAGGAGCAGAGAGAGCCAGAGAGATGGCTAGGTGGCTCTTGCTGTTCTTATGGAGGACCTGGGTGCAGTTTCCAGCACCCACATGGTGGCTCATACCTGCTCTAACGCCAGCTCCAGGCGTCTGATACCCTCTTCCAACCTCTGCAGGAACCAGGTACAGACGTGGAGGAAACATCTGTAGACATCAAATAAAAATAAGTGACTATTTTTCAAGCAGTGAATGGTAGTAATAAGGGATCTCCCAGTGGCTGGAGAGATGAGTCCGTGATCAAGAGCGTTTGCTGCTCTTGCAAAGGCAGCTCACAGATGGCCTGTAACTCCAGCTCAGGGAATCCAAAGCTGTTCCTCTGGAGTCTGTGGGTGCCTACACTCACGTGGTACACGACATTCATGCAAGCAATGACTCAAACATTTAAATAATAAAATTTAATAAATA